TGGAGCGCTCCTGGGGGCTCACCCTTGCAATCTCATGGAGGCGCAGGATTCGAAGTAGAAGTCAGCATTCTGCTGCGGGAACCACTCACACCCACACGCAAGACTCTTGGGTATTCTTCATCAACGCTAGGTCCCCCAAAATGATTGGAAAGGCGAATGCCTGATCATGACTTCGAACTCGCGCCTTTTTCTGACCTCTGTGGGCTTCGTTTGCCGTCGGCTCCAGGCCGATCATCTGAAGCCACCCTCTTAGACTCAGTTAGCGGTGGTCGACACCAAGTCCGGTCGTTTCCTAAGGTTGATTTCGTGATTTGTGATGCCTTTCTAGAGACATCGGGTCTATGGGACTTTTCCTTGAAGTTTGAAATGATGCTTGGGGGGCATTTATCTTTGGCTTTCCAGGCTCTAACGAAGGCGATAAGGCCGAAAAGTTAGCTGAACGGAGGTTTGATAATATCTTGGTTGTGGCTCAACAAACCTCACTGAAGAACTTAGAACTTATTTTTTCACCAACATTTCTCAGTGGAAAAGTTTACGATAAAAAAGCAGTCCATCAGAAATTAACGCTGAGGTGGTCAGTGGTGCAGGGATGAAAAAAAAACCACGAGAAACGAATTAAAACCAAAACATTGAAACTTTTCTTTGCCCATTGATATTCGCATCGGTGTGACTCTCATCGGTGCTGCTCATTTTCAATGCTACCGCTGTATCTGCTAATCGGCCAGGCCACCAGCATTCAATGACATGACACTGGATGATAGATGTCAATAAATATGACTGCTGTTGAAAACTCTCATACGCGGCACTCACTGCATTACTCGACAACACATGGCATTTTCCCTGTCACTGTTAGCTCTTATTATCGCTCAAACATCTCAAAATGGAGCGCTTCAAGAGCTTCACTTTCAACTATTATTTCTCTTGTTATATTTGTAGAAGTGAACTATTGCACCTATCAAGCGTGGAAGCTTACTGCTATCAGCTTCTATTGTACCGTATTTGTTAACATGATGGTATGATATAAAGATCATATGATAAATACCGTTTCCGCCAATTACGAATTAATAGAGAAAGGCGATAATAGAATGACGAAGATAATCACCGAATGGCGACCACGGAAATGGAAACGATCAAATGGCCGGCCGAGATTGAGATGGCGAGACCCATTTGTGTCAATCCTCAGGAGAAACTTGGAGAAGAGCAGCTACGTACAAACCTATTCTATGGAAGCATGCAAGACAAATGGAAACAATTTTGTGATCGTTGATTCTCGATCTGATTTGATTTCTGTGACTTTCTGATTCTCGATTTTTATGATCTCGTTTGAACAAATTAATATATGGCTAAATTACAAATATGATATTCGTTTTTGACACTGGCTCCAATTGGTGCCAGTTTGTCAAAACGGCTGTTTTCACTCATTTCGGTGTGAAATTGTGTGCAGGGCTTATTTCGTGCCCTGATAACAAAAATGACATTCGCTTTTTTTGTACAGCGTTGTCTAACGCATGTTTTCTGCTCTCCTAGACTCTCTCACATAGGTGAAATGCCCGAGATAAAACTTTTAGGAAGGTGTACAATGCGTTGAATCAATTGCGCATCGTATAGCAAGAAATGAAGTGCGTGAGATCACAGGGTGAGTGGATTGCCTACCTTTGGGACTCGCCTCTCCACAGGTTTAGTCCTGATCGCGATCAAACTAGAGAGGGGCGCAGACAAACAGAAATTAGACGCTAAATAGTGCCAAGGCCAAAATAAATCCTATATTTTTAATCACGACACCTAGCAACTGCTATGCAAAATCTGGATTGCGTCTTAGCTCGCCAACATAATAATTGGGGTTGTGTACGATCATCTTTGGTGTTAAATTGATGAAACCCCTTCGGCTAGCTATCGTTCCCAGACACAGGAACGGACTGCACTGTTCTCAAAATTCTGCTGTAAACAAGAACTTTTGTACTTCTATCCCCCACTTCTTCCAGATTCAAGCTCCTCTCAAACTTACAATTATGTTTACAGCAATCTACGCTGAGAATTGCAGTCATATTCAGCACCTCACTTTGTCAAAGAAAAATTATGAAGAAAAACTGCTTTCGGACTTCGCTGTAGACGAGCGACAAGTTGGGCGACAGTCAGGCTAAGCAGAATGCGAAGTCCCACTACGTGAAAATTCACATGGTAACCAAGGGCTAAAAGAGTTATAGCAAACGTGGTTTCATTCATTTATTTGCTTGAGAAAAAATGGAAAAAAAAGACGCTGCTATACCTGCGCCATAGCAAAAACAATAGAACACATTCAAAGCTACATAACACCCGGTAGAATTGGAAAAACACAAATCAGAGCTTGACGCGATAGAAGCATACTGCACGAAAAAATTAGAAAAAAAACACGAAAAAAATGAATGTGTAGCTAATCACCAGTCCACGGTTGTAGTTGAGAGCGATATTCAAGCGACGGTAACAATCTCGGAGGACACTAGAGGAAATGGCGTGATAAAAATGGCTGGGTTTGATGAAGTTCCTGAAATATAGATATCCCAGTGAATGGAAGGTTTCGAAACATTGAGTACAGGAGATCCATTTCTACATGGGAGGAGACTTTCACTATTCCAAGCAATGGAAGACCTCCATGCCAGTGCGAAAATTATTCTAGAAACATCAATGAAGACGCAAGTATCAATACGCAATAATATCTCAGGTCTCTCCTCGATGATGCCTAGTATGGCAACAAACCTCGACATTTGACCAAAATCGACACTCGTCGGCGAATTTTCTTGTTCAGAATGATAAGTAGGTAAGCGTTCGAGAAGGTGACCACATCGGAGGCATATGGTACCAAGAAGTCCGTTATACCGTTATTATCTGCACGCTTATAAATGAGAGCCTGCAAGAAAATAATTCTTAATTAGATTAAATTAGACAAAATGTAATGTGAAACTGCTGGGAAAGATTCCTATTCAAAAAGTCCTGATGGCTTTATTATGGAGCCGTGTCCTACTTCAAGAAATGAATGATGCTGAGCGTATCCTTGTCGCACACACCTTTACCTACCACCCTCTCTGTTATACCCGTACCGTAATACCGCTTACTACGAGATAAAGTGTGTTCCTTTCCGAACTCTCGGCGTTTGCCAATGCAGTCAATCGCAGGTGCTAGGCTCCGCGAATCCAGCTTGTGAACTGCGAGGTACGAGCGGTGCACCAGCGGACCGAACTATGTACCAGCGATCGAACGATGCACCATCAGATCGAGCGATGTATCAGCGACTCGGCAATGTTTGGCAGTGGCAGGGAACCTTCTCGTTTACACTTCCCCAGCCCATGTGGGCATGAGAAAGAAGAAGAAATTATGCCAACGACATGAAAGCTCGGAAAAGTGGAAAAATGTAAGCGAGAGGGTCTCCCGATACTTTCAAACACTGCCGAGTAAACGGTACACTAAGTTGATACGCTGGTTCAACGGCTCGTATCCTGCGACTCGCTAGCGAGTTGCCCTATTCGCAAAGTCCGACAACGGCCTGAGATCGGTGCTAGTCCCTTCGACCAGCCTGGCAGAATGGCGAAGTTCGCTCCTCACACGTTCAAAGGCTCGTAAGTCAGTCGACTAAAGCGTCATATTGTGGTTCGTCGCACGTCGCATGTGACTACTACTACGTGGGCTGCATATTGAAACAAAAAACGCAAAAACACAGCACTTACAAAGAGTATATAAAACGTGACTTGAATAAGAAAATCAAGGAATGCCAAGATAAACATGTTCCTTTCAGCTTTGTCATGATATCGTTTTGAGCGAATGAAAAGTAGAATAACGGAAACACAGTTCACTAACGATGTAGCTACTAAAAGCACGGTCAGAAATATAAATAATTCGCTCATGATCTTTCCCATGTTCTGAAATGGTGAATTTTGCTGTCAAGAAACAATCAGTACTGGATAGATTAAGGATCCACGCCAAAGTATTGCGAGAATGCCTCTCTGCTTAAAAAAATAAGCGGCGAGTTCAAAATTGCGCTGTGAAAAAAATTGAAAATTGCATTGCGCTTCACTGTGGTTGTTTCATAATACAAACCTCCCAGAATTGAGTGGTTTCTAATAGAGCCCATACTTTCGCGGGCATTGCTTTATAGATTCAGACTACAGTTCTGGACTAATTTTTACTTGGAAAAGGTGCAAAAATGGAGCTATAGATAAATATCCAATTCTTTTTCAGTATCGGTGAGAGTGTTAACGTATTGGTCTTCTGCGCTTTATCAAGACGGTCGATAATTTGGCTTCTGCTTCGAAGCGCCCTTAATCATCGTTTCTTCTGTACAATGTTTCTTCTGTCGAATGTTTCTTCTGTACACTACGCATCTTTTCACTTCACAAGCACCCGAATTGCTAGCTGAACGCCACTCAGCGCATATAGCGAACCATTACTGGAGCATGGATAGAATGGCCACCACATCCATGGCGCAGCCAGGTATCGATTGCAAAAAGATGGCAAAAGTCCAGCAAACTTCAGTAAGCAGAGCGTATAGTATAGACAGCGAGTATGACAAAAACGTTGTTACAGGAACTCATAATGTTTGCGGATTTTGAAGATTGGTGACAACTTTTCGAACAGCCCATACCAAGGCCCCTGTGAGCAGGTACATCCTAACCTCATTCATTATACAGTCTGTGGCACGATTATTTCATAAACCAACACCATCTTCTAGTCAAGGGAAGGCAACAAACCGCGGTGGAAGTGACATCGAAGCAGTTAGTATTATTGTCGATTATAAAATAACTGGAATGAGTAAGCAACGGGTATACAGACCAGAATGGCGTGAGCAGTGTGATCGCAACGCTACTTGGAAACCCATAGCTCCATATCTAAAAAAATATATCAAAATTGTTCTGCTTGCATCACCAAGAATGCTCGAAGACTTCTGAGACGCTAACGTTTCGAAAGTGGAAGGACGCCCACGATCATCCCAACATTGATCTGTTTTAGCAAAATGTTTCAGACAAAATTTGGGCTATGGAATCGTCAACGATTTCATTGCCCCTCATTCATGAGTGCTTTCGTTTACATTGTGTTACGTCGTAATCTGGACATTCAAAGGTGAAATTTGTGAAGCTGCTCCGATTTACTCCCACATCAAGTGGAAAAGGCGTTCACATGAGCACTCCAAAGCTTGGCTGATTTTGCACCAGCTTCCTTGTGTCTGAATAATTCAAATGCCAATTCACTACATTAACCTCCCCTTCAAAATTTTCGTGTTGCAAATAATACCGTAATATGCGACGTAGGAAAGACGATGACGGTCATACGGTATAAGGAAACAAAGAAACTCATGTAGTTCTGCACGAAGGCGAAGTGTAATGTGAAGCAATGCAGCTGAAACAAATTCAGTTAGCACAATGTCACATGGGACCACTTCACACCGCTCCACTACTTCTGGAAAACTTTTTTTCAGGTCTTTGAACGACAATTCACACCGTTTTCAGAAGACAAATGAAAATTCAGGAAAGCCAAAATACCAAAAAAGTCACAAAAACCAGATTCAGCTCCCGCACCAAGTAGTCAAAGAGGTCTGCTTTGAGCAAAGATTGGCATCTTTCTTACAGCATTTCTTCAACACATCATGTTTTGTTCAGCTGATTTCGGAATGCAATACAACAGAATCGTGCACATCGCCGCGCCAGCAGTTGTAGACGCGGCCCCATGGAATAACTCACCGGCGACGCGGACGCGAGCGCATACGGGTGACGTCATTTTGACGTCACAGCGGCGGCGAGGATTGAACAGAGTGGTGCCAATACTTTATAACATTGCGTATAGGACACTATCGACTCTGACTTCACTATGCAGTGAGCAGAAGTAATAACGAAGAATGGACTTATTGAAATCAAATTCGAATCAGTTGCAAATTCGTTAGGGTTTATATACGCAACTGTCATTTCCTCGTTAATCGCCCAAACTTCCGAGGGCGAAAATAGTACCTATACACAACACAATCATTTCGCATGCCGCACTAAATTAAGAGGAGAGGATAGCACAAGTTTGTGAGGTGTCAACTACCCTTCTACTCTGAGCGAAGTGGCAGCAACACTTTTAGCCTTGCCCTCTCTGCTGTTGCAGCAGCTGTGACATCAGCTGCACGCACTTGCGTCCGCGCCGCCGGTGAACTTTTCTCTCCACCTCCCCCCCCCTGGCCACAACCGCATTACAAGGTTTCAGTTGCCTCAGACCTTTTTTCTTTCTGAGTATGGCAGGAGTGGTCTCCTATCTTAAAGTGAGGTGGAAACCATACGTTGTCGCTTGCATGAAAATCACCTTCAGAATCGGTTGATTATTGCGACTGCATAAAAAATCACTGCTTCTCTTGTCAAATAAGAAATTACCGCATTCATCGATAAGTTGGTGCGTTGCGTTGCCGCGAAAGTGGCCTCGCGCAGCAAGGCAACGGGCCGAGCTGGCGATCCCGTTGACAGTTCTACCTGACTTCATCTACAGAGTAAGGTCTAACGAGGCCATGCACTCACTATTGACGTTATAAATAACGGTGTCCTGTTGTAAATTCCACTCCACCAGTTGCTCTCGTTAGTAATATTCGCCATTTGAACAACATAAAAAGAATTCACAAAAACAAGGACGTTCTGAAAAAGAAGAGTGCTTGGTGTGTGCTCCAGAAGCGCAAGGAAAGTAGTACTAGTAATTCGGCAAGCCATAAACTCACAAGAAGTGCCTGTACTATCAGCAGTGAATAGAATCGTCCTGGAACTCCTTTGTGCTCTTTGAAGAGTGCAATGAGCACAAATACATAGAGGACACATGATGGAATGCAGTAGATGAATCTTACGTAGATACGATATTCATACATCCTTAAACAGTCTGTTAAACGAGTTCTCCTCTTCCTTGACTCCATTTTGCAACGGTCACGGAGGTGTTGCAGTTCAATCAAAAACCAGAAACACAAACACAACACAACACAAACACATTGTGGGGTTTTAGCGCCACCTCTGGCATTTTGCATGAAATGCAGATAGAAACGGATGCACTTCCGGAAAAGAAGTCAGTCGGGAAAAAAGCGGGCACCTGGGACGAAAAATACATGAAGGTATTACCCAGGCAAAATTTGGGTGAACCGTTTTTTTTTCGCTGTGTAAGATAGAGCTCGAATAACAATAACAGATTTGACACTCCCGTGCGTGAAAACTGAAGACACTCCGACAAGAGCGCTAGTGTCTTGCGAAGACGGCTTCAACAGCTTTCATGCCCCCCCCCCATCCGCAGTAGGCTGCTGTTTGGCGCTCTCATCTGTTGCACTCTCTCACCACTCCCCTTCACTCAGGTTCTCAAGGCCTTAGCCCAGCCGCATTACAAAGACGAACAAGTTGTTTTCAACGGATTACTTTCCTTCTTTTCGCTGCTGGCCCATTTCGTACCGACACTTTCACATTCGTGTACAATAACCACACCAGTGTAAAACTGTTCATGCCTCTGAAGAAAAAAGAAGGGTCCGTTCCTGATGAAAACGCTAAGAGCATGAGGACGTTATTGCAATAGACGGGGGCATACTTTAAGAACTGAGCCTAGGAGAGATAGCAATCAAATGGTGGGGAAGAAAATGGCCGATGCAAACTATCATATTAGGTTGTTGCATTATAAATGTCGCACAGATTTAGCTTCACCCCACTCGGCTGTGTTCGAACATCCAGAGGTACTCAAGCATTCATTCGAAAGAGGAAATCTAGGAGTATAAAAGCGACTACTCGTTGCCCATATCATTTTGTTTTTTACATGAATTTTTCTTTTAAACGATGACTGACCGAAATTTCCGTGTGTACACGTGAATGTTGTACGACATCTTGAGGGGATGAATTTAGCTCACATGGACACGGCAGGTCTTCGTAAACAAAATCGACCTACATCGAACATCATGCAGAGGCTCGGCGAAAAAGGGAAATAACGATTTAAACTCACTTCACTACAAAAAGTGCGAGACCAGGCTGAAAACATTTAACTTCCCCGCCAAACAGCTCTTGTCACACTCCATCTATGTGCTGCGCATCCGAGTCAACGCGGCACGTTTTGAAGGAGAAACAGTTCAGAGAGTACAAAAAATTCGGAATCTGGGTGTCCATGTTTACCTGCGCACAGTTGCTACGATTCTTCGAGAAGGACGTCGAGTCTCTGCGTGAGGAATGGCGAAGCCTGGCACAATAAGGTAGTATCCATCTCTTCTTCTGAGATGCCGAAATGTTGCTGATCCAACAAATTTTGTGGTACGTCCAAAAGCGACATTTGTAATGCACCAACGAAATAGAACCTTTCCTCCTCGCCTGAGCCTAGTCCTATTTTAACAAAAAGGACATATCTGACGCGATTTTAAATGCACTGTCACTATCTTACGATAGCGCCAATGTTGTTCATACAAGTCTTCTATAATAAAAATAAAAGTGGATGGAGCTTGCGCTGCAGTGGGCGGAATTTATACGGTGACTACAGTAATCCTACAGTAACCCAAATTTTTTATGCCCCTTATCTTACGATAGCGCCAGCATGCGTTATCAAACTTATATGTACCCCACCTCATACCTTTCGAGCCGAGTGGATTGCTCGTAGCGGCCTATATTTATTTATTACGGACTGGTTCGTTGAGGGGAAGCTCATTTGCTCAATGGCTTGTTTTTTGAGTGCGCAACCTCACTGGAGCATTATCGGGTTTTGAAGTTGGAATCTCAATATCTAAAGCTAGAAGCGTAGACGCTGTTCTCTTTATTTTCTATTACCCACTGGACTAAGATAATAGAAGCGGTAACATTCTGGCATAAAGCCGGACTGCTGTTGTGATGTCGGAGCTCGTTCTAGTCGTCAAGTGAACCCTCGTACAGTGGTAGGCGCAGTAACGTTGGTCCTGCGATCTAAAACATTGCTTCCCATACTGTAGCTAGGCGCGATAGGTAAGGCTGCCTCGGTCGACGGACTACTTGAACTCGGCCCTTTAAGCTGCCTCACTTTGTCTGCGCTCTCTCACCTTATCAGCGGCTCATCACCACTGCGATCTTCAAACTTTTGCCACAATGCAATTGGCTCACCCACCTCGGAGTCCCTCCCCCTTACAAGGCTTAGTCCTAGGCTCTCACCTCCTTCCTTGGGATTTGGAGCCGAGCCAGGCGCCGTTCTCTAATCGTCTGTGCTCTCCGCCATTCGTGGCAGGACCATGGAAGAAAGTTCAAGTAGTCCGTAAACCGGCGCATAACGCTCATTCTTCATGCTTTCCACTAGTCATTTCATACATTTCGAAATTGCCTCCAAACTTTCATGTTCGTTGATTGTAAGCAAACCTCTTTTTCCCAATATTACTAGTGGTCCCGAGCCGGGATACAAGTTACAGCTTGACCGAACCTTAGCAAAACGCAATTGTACGCATTCGTGGGTGTGCCTGCTGGAGCGGTTCTATCGTAAAAGGATCAGTCAAGAATTCAAAGTAAATTGGTTACTGTTGAAAAGGTGTATGCGGTTTTGTATAAAGAACCTGATTGTTGCACTTTGTGGATCCCACTCTCTCCTTCTATTGATTTCATAGGTGTAAAAGTGCGAAATGATGAACTCTGAGCAAAAGATGAAGCTTGAGAGCGAGAAATGATGAGAACTCATAAGTAGTTGGGAGCAAAAATGCATTGTGATACGATAATTTGTGTCCATTTTCTTGCTCTGATCTGTTAATGAGGCTAAACGATACGTCATAAACATCATAAACAAACACGTGATAGCTGCTGCAGTCGTTTTTTTCCGAGTAGTTGATTACATTGTTCCCGCAAGTAAATATGTACAAATTTGCATGGGGAAAGGGAAATTAGTTGCCGGGTAAAAATAGGAGAACTACGAGGTGGGTTGGAATGGGT